TGGGGAGGAAGGGGCTGGTGGTGTGGTTTCTGAAGGCAAGCCAGACAGTATTCTAAGCTGGGGACACACGGCGTGTTTTAACTGCTGTGCTAATTCTGCGTAAGGAGATGTTAAGTATCTAGCTCCTTGCTGTAGCATGCCATGTGTCCCTGAATAAAATTACTGCCATGCAGGCTGTTAGGGAAGGAATGCGTAAACAGACAATGTATCCTTGCATCAGTTCCACCAAATGTTGCACAACACGAATGCCTCTCGATGTGTCATTTCCTGCTTGGCCACCAGCCCAGCTCCCAACAGTCAGTCAACATGAAAAAAAGAATAATAATAATAATAATAAAAGCAAAATAAATAAATAAATAAAGAAGGAAAGAAAGAAAACAGAAAGAAAGGAAGAAGAAGAAAAAAAAAGAAAGAAAAAAGGAAGAAAAAAAATTCTACTGACAGATTTAACGTTGCTCTGCTCGCAAGCACATTCCATCAGCCCCAGCCTTATCCCTCCACCCTCTGCCTTTGAAAGAAGGGAGAGAGAACTTCCTAAACGCTGTTATGGTTTTAAGTCTAGGAATCTCAAACATCTCCATGGCTTATCTGCGCTCTGCAGCCACACGGTTAACACAACGGCTCACCAGAAGCTCCTGCTTGCTTTTGCTGTCTTTTGTAGCATGCACAGACAACGAGGCACTGTTTGCTCATACCTTTCACCGTGGGTGCACCTTACCAGCTATGGCAGCAGGGAAATACTTGGGAGCTGAATGAAATGTAGCAGTTTTCTCCTACCAAAACCAGCAGCCCCAAACTCAGAGGGACTTTTCCATATGTGCTCATACGCTACATTGCTGCCAGTGATTTTGGAGACTATCTTTGATTAGAGATGAAGTCTTTGGAAGCAAGATATAAAAACACAGACACTCCTCCAGCAAAAAGCAGCCAAGGACTCATCTCCTGCTCTCTGGGGCTGCTGCTGAAGGACAAACCATCAGTTCATAGAATCACAGAATGGTTTGGGTTGGAAAGGACCTCAAGGATCACGAAGCTCCAACCCCCCTGTGCCATGCAGGGCCACCAACCTCCCCATTTCACAGCAGCCCAGGCTGCCCAGGGCCCCATCCAACCTGGCCTTGAACACCTCCAGGGATGGACGGGGCATCACAGCCTCTCTGGGCAGCTGTTCCAGCACCTCACCACTCTCACAGCACACAACTTCCCCCTGACATCCAACCTCAGTCTTCCCTCTTTCAACTTAAATTGATTAGTTTGGCATTTGTAAGGGGAGTTAAATAAAAGGTTGTTGGTTTTTTTGTTCCTTTAATTCCTTTAGGGTTTATACCATGCTTCCTGTTGGTTCATTATGACCTTGTGACAATGTGGTTCTCAGCAAAACTTCTTTTAGCCCTCCCAGCTGGAAGACAGCTCTGAGGGCTAAGGGCTGTGGATGGCATAGGCTCTATACTGCAGAAGGGGAGAGAAAACACAGGCATTGGCAGGATTTCCCAATGACTCCCAAAGACCTTATACAATGGTTTCTGGACTCCATCCCTCACAATGCAATGTGCTGTCCCAGCCCAGCACAGAGGCTGTGCAACAAATAAGATCCTGGTTGGAAAAGCAGATAGACTGACAAAAAAAAATCTTTTCCCAGGAATAATCGTTAGAAGAATCTGCCAGGCTTTCCTAACAGAGCAACCTGACAGCCCAACCTCTATTGAAATGTTTGAAGATAATAGCAGAGAGGTAAGGCTGTGAGCTTCTACAAGGAAATGTTTAATACAATCAACCAGCACTCACATTGAAGAACCTGACTTCCTGAAGCATCCAAAATCCCAACTGGAGTCACTGCATCACTGCATGCCATGACTGTTCAGCACGCTTAATGTCAGCCTCTGGATGGCTGTCATGGGATGGCTGCTGCTCCTGCTGCTGCTGGAAAACACGCAGCATTTGTTTGCTGGAGCCAACTTGCCAGCAGAAGGTCAAAGTGCCTTGCCTATAAACAAGCCTTACAAATTCACGATCTGAAGCATGATGTCATGTCTTAAAATGATAAGCTGGCAACAAAGTAAATGACATTTTGTAGAGACGTGCATAATTTTATGTTTACGCTACTTAGAATGAAGGTTCTAATAAGTCATCGGTTGTGTTCCTTTAAAGGGAAGTTTTATAACTGAGATGAATCACAACTGCAAGAGATCAAAGTTAGAAAACATCAATGATGCCATGGGGTACTTTTTAATCTCGTAATGAATGATGATCATGTGCTCTTATGAAGTTGGTCCAACTGCCAACGCCAGATGTGTATATTAAGAGAAAAGTTGTTTGTGATGTGACAGCTCCGGTTGAGTTGCCAGAGAGAAGAAAATGAGAGCATGCCTGAGATGTCTGAGTGAAGTACAGATCCTGGCAGAGAGGGGCACTATTGGCTGATACTTAATCTGTTAAGAAAAACACATTCGCTATCAGATCCATTTGGTGACTTGAATTCCTCACTGCCCCCAACCACCTCATTTTCCTCATGCAACATAAACGCCAGATACACTTCCTGAGTGATCACCACCACACAGTAATAAATCTGCACGAGCTTGGGAGCTCACACAATGAACAGAACTTCAGTGAAACTCCCATGGTACTTCTGCAGCTACACTTTCCCTGAAAATTCACATTTAATAACAAGTCATCCTGGAGACATCATCTCCCTTATAGCATGCAACTGCAATGACAGAACCTGCAGAACCAAGCTGACCCCAGAGCAGAGCTTCACTACGGAGCTGAAATTCTTACATCCAAGGCCTCTTAAAAGGGGCTTTCTTAATAAACAAATAAAGACAGAAAGAAAGATACAATAATCCCATCTAGGCTACGATAACTGGCGTTCTTAGTTACCGAGCATCCCTCACTAGAGCTGAAATCCATGGAAACAGCAAATAGGAGTCATGTATAGAGGTTGGCTAAACAACTCAGGCAGAACCTGGAGATCTCACATTGCTATATCAACACAGTCTCACCTTTAATTCACAAATTGCCAGCACAGCTTAGCTGCCATCGCAGGACCAGACAAAGGTTCCCCCTCTGTGCCACAGTGAGCAGCCAACACTTTTAGCTGCAGCGTTTTCAGTCTACTCCACTCCATCAGTGCATTTGTTGTCTGCCGTCTGAGATTTGCTCTGCAGATGCCTCAGTACACAGAAGCAGCCTCCAAATGGGAACGGCCAAGTGATATCCCCTGGTTTTTACACTCTGAGCACAGTTTGAAGCAAAAGCTTGAATATTAAAAAGAGCACTGCTCCAGCAAGAGAGGGATGGAAGGATGAAAATCCCCTTGCTGTGACTGACAGAAACCTCAGATGTGAGAGGGCAGCAGCCTAAGTACCTACAGAATGAAACTTCTTCACAGCTAGCCGCTTTTTTATCTGCTGTTCTAGGAGAGGTACAAGAGCTGGGTGGCTCTCACAGAAGGCATTTTGGTTTCCCTCTCTCAGTTGTGCAGGAGGTGGCACCACAGCATGGATTAACACGAGAAACGCATCGCTGCATGCAGCCTTCTACTTCTGTCTTGGTGGTATGCTCAGCAAAACTCCCTGAAAGCTGCTCACAGGGCTCACTTGTACGTGCAGATCAAAGGCAAAACAATTATTTGAGATGCCTCCACAAAAGGGATATTTTTAATGTGGTTATTCATCAAATAATTCTTAATCTCCAAATGCAATTTAAATGCAGCTATACCTGGTTAATCCAATCAATTTAGAAAGACTCATTCTAGTCAGATTAAAAAAAACTCCAGAACTGACTCATCACTGCTACCCAGATGCTGTCATACTGGTTGCCTTCGAAATGTGTGAGACAGAGAGTCAGGCAGAGATCACAATGGACTGACCACGCTTGCCTGTATCTGAAAGTATTGGCCAGCCATAGCATTGCTGGAGGGTGGCAAAGCACAACTGTTGTAAACATGTAGCCACAAATCATTGCTCAGATTCCCTTCCAGTAGTTGAAGGGAGCCATATATAAGCAGGAGGGGGAACGGCTGTTTGTGAGGGTGGGTGGTGATGGGACAAGGGGAATGGTTTTAAAGTGAGACAGGGGAGGTTTGGGTTGGATATGAGGAGGCAGTTTTTCCCCCCGAGGGTGGTGAGGCACTGGCACAGGTTGCCCAAGGAGGCTGTGGATGCCCCATCCCTGCAGGCATTCAAGGCCAGGCTGGATGTGGCTCTGGGCAGCCTGGGCTGCTGGTTGGTGACCTGCACACAGCAGGGGTTGGGACTGGAGGAGCGCTGTGGGCCTTTGCAACCCAGGCTGTTCTGTGATTCTATGATTCTTTGTAACTTGGGAAGGTGTGCAGCTATGAGTCCAACACGCTGAGGGACAATCTGATCAGCTACGCTGCCATTAAGCACACTTTCTGTGCACAGATAAGAAACAAAGGCCGTGCTGTAGATGCACGGTGTTTGGAGCTTTCTTTGGCCCCCAGGGGGTCTGTGATGAGTCCGTAGCTGAAAATCAATTTCAGGTATGATGAGATTAACCAGGTGCATTAATTATCTGATGGCAAAAGAATTTAAGGGCAAACAAAAAGGCACTATATTGTATATTATCCTTCTGTGCTAGGACTGATCCTGTAAGACCGACCTCCTATTGTGCTGTAAATGCCTTCAGTTGGAAGTCTGCAGGAGCTGAGCAAAGCGGCTCGTTGCAGGACTGCATCTATTAGCCTAAATCAGATTATACATAAATACCGTGGGTTCAGTTCTCATTTACACTGGCAGATAATGTATCAAGACCTTGATGTGAATGAGGATCGGGTTCGGGACTGCCCAAATTCAGCCAAGCACTTCGGCGTGTGTTTAATGCGAGTATGTGTGTGGTCCAATAGGCTCCAAATTAAGCATGCGCTTACATATTTTGCTGAGCAAGGCCCAGCGTTTGACAAAGATCTATATTTCATGTATGGATCTCCGTTAAACAAAATTAAGCAGGCGGAAGTGCAAAAATAAGAGTGTAATACTCACTTCTTGGCTCCCTCGGCCCATCCACCGTAACCTTTATGGCTCTGTGGTATGTAGCGACTTGGGGGGGATTTGTCAGGACAGTTATTGTCAAAGTAAAGCTCTTCCCTGCAAAGAGAAAAAAAAACAACGAGGAATGAGTGATTACAACATGAAAACAGTCACATGCATGTTCAGTAAAGAGTCGGAGACGTTTAAAATTATTCCCTGTCGTTACCACAATCGCGAAAATTAAAAACATAACTGACCATAGGAGTTTTCCTCCCCTTCAGTTTTACTCTACGTCAAGAATATGTCCATGTGTTGACAATCTAAATGTTCCTTATTTAATAATGGGTCATCATGCAACGACAGAACAAAAGTGATTCACTGCCGAGGACAAGCCAAATTCCTTGCTGTATTGAAAGTGGTGTAAATCCAAAGCGAGGCGGATAATTTAAAAATTTACTCCAGTTTTGCAGCTGCGGGACAGAGAGCAGAATGTGGCCACATGTTATTTACTTCGCACAGCTCCATCGTGTCGTTGTTTGACTACAATGAGATGAGGAAAGGCTGCGTTTTCCCGCGGGAGCCATTAGAAGAGGGAATCAGCGTCTCCTGTCCTTTGTGCTCCAGGGCTGATGTGGTGATATCATCATTACTGGAGCACACTTTTCTCCCTACACACGACTGCACGTCTCTCTGTTCAACACTGAGGCAGCCCTCGGCTTTCCAGCAGCAGTGAGAAACCGCAGCGTGCACGCGCTCTTCCCCCGTCAGGCTGTGGCTGCGTTTCTCAAGGCTGGAGCTCACACAGGCACTGCACGAGAGCATCTGGAGCCCTCGGCCGAAGGGAGCCTTAAACGTGAGCAGAGGGGCTGAGCTGGGTGAGCCGGGCACACGTTCTCACCAGGCACCGGCCACTGACAGTTGTAATCTGTTAGATATGCAACCGTTAGTCACGTCAGATAATCAGAACTGAAAACTGCTTCAAGACAGGAAAAGGTGGGCGTGCAGCAGTGACTCAATAAAACAGTCAGCATCCCAAGCCTGCCTGCTCCTTTCAGCTGCTCCCCCACCAGGCTCTGAAGTGCTTTCTTTCTCTCTCCCTGCCTCTCTGTGCATTTCTGCTGCCGGTGCTTTTCCTCTTGTTGAACTCTGAAGACACAAATCTTAAACGATATCTAAGAGCACAAACTTAGCGCAGGTTTTTCAAGCTTAAAATAGAACAGCTTATGTAAAAGGCATAATATGGAACAGAGCTTTGGCTGTCAAAACTAGTAATTAGTCTTTCTGTCCTGCTGAAGCTGTATATCTGCCCCAAACCTGACTGAGACACGCAACATTCATCACCCGGAGTACAACTTCAAAATGTCTCAGCCCTTTTTCTCGTACACTGAAATGTGACATGGATTTTTTTAAGGACATGTAACAGTCACTTGGAGTAAAATGCTCTTCCAGGTATAGCCGTGCTCTGGCTGCACCCATCTTTCTGTAGGTGGAGGCCAAAAGGTATAAAGGCGTCAGGCGGCTGAGTTTGGCCTCAGATGCAATGGGGAGACATGGCCAAAGGCAGTTCCCCCTGCTGCCCCACGAAATGGGTCTGTTCACTGATCTTTTGAGAATGACCACCATGGGAGAGTACTGAGGTTGTCCAGTCTTGGTCGAGTCCTGCTCATCCCAGTTGTACAGCAGTCGTTTTGCCTGTATGCCATGCCTGTAGGCAGAGCCCAGACGTGCAGCAATATCCCTACTGGGCACACAGTGCCTCCACGCTGCCTGTTGAGGTCTGCAGTGCTGTGAGCCCTTTATCTCTATCCAAGCAAGAATTCAGCCTGCTGCCTGGACACCCACCAGTTTGCCAGGGATGGACCTTAGGCCTCCGTTAGCATCAGCCTCTGAAAACACACTATCATTCAGATCACAGTTACCCCTATAAAAGGAGCAGAATACAACTGGCAACCACCAAAGATGCTAAGGGGATTTTCTGAATGCCTTGGAACGAAGCCTTTGGCCTTACACCGCTACCACTCTCTTTATGTGCCAAATCAGTCTACTGATGGCTAAAAATCAGGCCAACAAAACAATACTACTTTAAAAGACCCTGTAAAATCATTCTGTAGAGAAGCACTGCGAGGTTTTGTATGCTAAATGCATCTCAACGCGATAGAAAAAATGCACTCCTTAACACAAAGAGCGGTGTTTCCACCTGGCCTGTGAGCACTCCTAAACGATCAGCCAGCCTATGCTGAACAGGTAAGCACCTCATCTGAAAGGGAAATAGGTTTTGTTCCCTAGCTGGTATTCTAACAAACAGAAACATTAATGAATGAACATTAACAAAGCCCCACCGCACTCAGCAAAACAAAGCACGGCTTTATAGCGGGGTGATGCACGGCCCGCCAGCACACTCCAGTCCCTGAGCTTTCAAGAAATGATTTACATATTACAGGATTGAGAACAAAATATGTTTTTAAGGTCACACGTTTCAGCGACGCGTGTGCCTCCCCCAGATAGATGGAAGTGACTTCACAGAGATCCTCCCTCTGCCAGGAAATCCTTTAATGCACTTTTTATCGCCTACCTTTATGCCCTCAGTCGCTTAAACTGTCCGCTTTTAGAAGCTGACGACTAATTGCAGAGCTCTGTTATTAAATTCCCTCGCCAAGCAGGCATCTGGCACTAATGCCTCCGTGCGTCCAAACTGTGCATGCTTTGTTATTCACACATGTGAGTGCAGCCGACAAAAAAAGGAGGGGATGGACATATGTTGAAACACAAGGCAGAAAGCAGAAGTCAGCTGGAAAGGGGACTCAGCAGCCTGTGTGCGCTGCGTGTTGTTCAGTCAGGTCCCAGTGTGATTAGAGCACTGGGGGACAACAAAATGAAGGTGATTGGAACAGGTTGCCCAAGGAGGCTGTGGATGCCCCATCCCTGCAGGCATTCAAGGCCAGGCTGGATGTGGCTCTGGGCAGCCTGGGCTGCTGGTTGGCGACCTGCACACAGCAGGGGGTTGGAGCTGGATGAGCACTGTGGGGCTTTTGCAACCCAGGCCATGCTGGGATTCTATGATCCTATGATTCTATGATCCCGTGCTCACGAAAGACAGGAATTCTGCCCTTGCACTGCGGCTCAGCCTTGTAAAAGTGAGCTCCTGCCTCTAAACCACAGACAAACAACTTCTGCATGCATATAAAGAGCTCTGGTTACTTATTCTTAAGAATCCAGAAAGGTATTTAAGAGAAATTATGCAAACAAAAACGTGAAGTCAGGGCTCCTGTCAGGCGAGCAGCACTAACATGGGTATGAATCCAGTTCCTGCACTGAGCCATGGGAAGCAGGGAAAGAACGTGGGAGAGAAGGTGAAGCGGTAAGCTGATGATTCAGCCCTCACAATCAAACTGAGAGATACAGAGATCAAAGAGCAAGCTGTTTAGAAAGATGTAAATCTGAAGGCAGGAACAGGTGTGGATTAGCTTCTTGCCACCGAAAAATGATTTCTTTCTTACTTTATTTTTCCTGTTTTACTTCAGGTCTTGTACCCACCATATCTGCCTCTGTAAGTAGCTTTCTCACTTCTCTTTGCAGCTACTGCTTTCTTTCCTGCTATTTTAAGGAGAGTTATAAAAACCTATCAGTAATGATAACTCTTTCTCCTTTCCTCTCTCTCCCCCCCTCTCTGTTCTGAGTCTGGGAGACAAGTCTGGACCAATTTCTCCATCCCGCCTCTGGCAGCAGAATGCAGCATTTCAGATCCTCCACCGAGTCCCGGCTGCTTCAAAGGCAAAGCTCTACTTTCTTCCGTTAAGATCATAAGAAATATAGGGGGAGGGGGTCAGCTCTGTTTGGACATAATTACACTTCATCAAAAGAAGCTTTCTTCATCTTCCATGCGTGAAAAGTCTGCAAGCAGTTAAGTCTGTCTTTTTTCTTCCTTTTTTTTTTCTTTTTTTTTCTTTTTTTTTTTTTTTAAATATAAAAATTGCTATTTGGGAAACTAGCCAAAACTCAGAAAGCCAATATAGTAAAACAGTGCACACCCTTTGTTTTGCTTTGAAGTCTCTTAAATAAATATGTTGAGGGCTTGAAAAGTACACTATCGCTTTTCCATAGATTCTACCCAGACTGATCAGAGAAAAACTCTATTCCAGATCTACTAGATACGAATATAGGTTGAACTACTGGTGCCCAAATTCAGAGGCTTTGTGTTTGTATGTGTCCCCATCTACACCTCCCGAGTTCTCAGGCCCTTCAGTTCATTTCCTACGGTCTAATAAAAAAGCATATATCATACATTTCAAATGAAATCCGCAGATCTGAGGTTGTACATCACATCTCGGCTCTTTTCAGCACTGCTGAAGCAGTCACACACTGCTGAACTCTTTCTGTAAGGCACTGCTAGCGACCGAGCCAGGGAACCTTCAGACCTCATCCATCAGCACAGTAACAAAGCAGGCTGGTTTTTCCAAAGGAAGCAAGACAAATGGAAGAGGAAGGCAGCACCGCATCCCAAAGGGCAGCAAAGGCCATATTTATACTGAACTGCCTCTGCAGTAGTTATTCTGTTTTCAAGTTACCCTTTATTACCAATAATTTTCAAGATGTAAAATGATAAAGAGAGCTGTTGGCCAAGTCACTAATACAAAAAATAGCCGCTGTAAGCCACACTGATGGAATCACTTTCACAAAACAGCGGTAATTGTAAAAGCATGCCAGCTGACCGAAACCATCCCGGCCTCTGTCACACGTTTGGTTAGTATTTTTGAGGGAGAAATAGCCCTGAGATGTACAGCTGCTCTTAAAGTGTCTGACTGTAAATTAGCTTTATTACTGATTCTCCACACACGCAGTTCTGCCTTTATTTCTTCCTTTCCCTCCATGCAGGGCCAGTTTAAAACAAATAATTACTGCAAATACGTAACGCACAAACACTGAGGCTGAATCGATGGCTGATTGATACAACAGATCCCTCTGAGCATTCCTGCACTGGAGACTGAAGTGCCAGCTTCCCTCAAGTGGTCATTTCAATCACTACCTCAAATTTCAGGGCAGCTACAAGAGTCTTATGTTATTTTCAAGCTCTCGGTGGTAACAAAAGCTTTCTATGTGTGCTTCCCAGGTTACAGGACGCTCCTGAACAGCTGGAAGACAATGACAGCACTCTAAATCTCCCCAAAAATTAGAAGTCGCCCTCCCTGACATTTAAAGTAAAGGTTGAATTTCCTTCCATCCAAAGCTTACCATCAATTCACAAAAGCCAGGCAGGTTACTAACAACAACAGCGAGGTTTCTGTCTGCGGGTCATACACAAAGGGCAGGGAAGCACCAGAAGGCTTTCCACCAATAGCTGTGAGCTTTTAAAGACCATAACCTAAAACACATGTGATATGCAACGCTCCTTTAATTCTAGCTCTCCTGCAACAACTCCAGCAGAAGCGCCACTGCTGAAAGGAATCCTTCATCTCTTGTTACTGCGGCCTGAGATGCACTGTCTGACTGTAAGAAAACCATCACGAATATCCTCGTTTCCTTCCGCCTCTGCTGCGTGATTAAAATGGGGAACCAAGGTATTCTGTGAATCATTTTTTCAAAACCGGCGTTCCAAAAATGAACAAAGACGTGGCAGGAAAGCTTTGCAAGAGAGAACACCTCTCTGGGCTGGCAAGTTTGCAAATAAAACAGGCATCCGTGAAAGGCAGACAGCGATTTATCGGCACACAAATCTGCGTTTCCTTGTGAAACGAGGCTGATATCCAGGCCTTCCCTTCACCCTGCTGCGCCCACACACAAAGCAGCCACCTACCTCTGCCACTTCTGCCCACGAATCGCAGGTCATTGAATCTGGCCACCTGGTTCTTCATCACAGCAGAAGCGTTTCGCAGCTCTGCCGAATAGTTCTCGTCGTTCCCAGCCATCACGGTGACCACAGTCCCATCGGGCACTTCTCCTAAGGCCACCACCTGTGAGGAGGGGACAAGAAAGCACGGCTCGTGACACAGTGCTCTGCATTTCCTTGCAAACCCACACAGCACCGAGTCCCCACACCAATTTGGAGGTGGGGAGCAGCAGCTGTGGCTTTTCCTATTCTTCATTCAGACCATCTCCTGACACAAGCATTACATTTTATCATAAGACTTACTTACAAACGTCTTTCCCATAAACTAATGATTGAAGGTTGCACTGCGATATTCATTAAATAAAAGGGAGTTCTGAATATATATTGTAGAATCACAGAATGGCCTGGGTTGCAAAGGACCAGAGTGCTCATCCAGTTCCAACTCCCTGCTATGTGCAGGGCTGCCAATCAGCAGACCAGGCTGCCCAGAGCCACATCCAGCCTGGTGCATATATGGAGAACGGCCCAGTGTGCTGTGAAGCATTCCTTTACAACAATAAAAATCGATGACAAAAGCATACAAAATCTGAAAGTATTTACAACAGGCTGCATTGCCGAAAAAGAGAGCTCATCTCACTTAAGAGAAAGTACAAAGCGAAGCTGAAATGCCATATGAAATGGGTTATGCTGATGGTAACAGCACCCCAAACTCAAACGGTAATTCCGCCACCAATTTCTGCATCTGCATGGAAGGGCTGCAGTCTGAAGGGACCCAGGAGCAGGAGATGCTCTGGGCAGTGCAGTGAGCAGCCCCCAGCCCGCCTGGCTCTGGCAGCAGCCGGCTCCACAGGCTGCAAAGGGAGCTGTCAGATCACAGCTAATCAGCTGCTGAACTCACACCCCTGGTAAATGGATACTGGCTCAAAGCCTAACACAGGGAGCTGCCTGCAACGTGCTCCCATCTCAGCTTATGACAGAGCACGATGTCTCCAGGCAGCCTCGGGACACACGTCAGCACCCCGGGAAATTGCAACCTATGCTTTCTCCACAGCGAGAAACAAATCAACAAACAAACAAGAATCCCTTGAACTCCAGAAATGCAAAAAAAGGGCACACGAGTCCAGTGGGGCTGTGGAAGAGGCAGCACAACCACTGCAGCCCCTCTGCAGCCCCACTCCCTCCTGTTCCCTCCTGCTGCCCGGCAGAGCAGCACCCCTCACCGGACACCGGGCAGGGCTGACATCCTCCAAAAAGGCCCTCTGCTCACACACCCCGTTACTTCTGACAGGTTTCCTTCCCAGCCTTTCCTCCTGTCAGCGCTGTTTGGCTCTGCACGTTTTGCCAGGGCATCCCTGCGTGCGCCACTGCAATAAGTGCAGCCCTGCACTGCAGCTGATGCAAGGTCTGTGCTCAGCTCACTGCGAGAGGCAAGCTGAGATCAGGGCTGAAAAGACAAAGCTTTGGCTGATGAAAGAAACTCCAATCATACCAAAAGCTCCTCACTACGCTGCTGGGTAAAACGTTTGTCACTGTTACACTTTCAGACCTTACAGCCCAGAATCACCAGAAGGTTACTGTGACAGCACTGCCCAGAACAAAGCTGCATCGTGTGTTCGAAACCCAGAGAAATAAAGACCGCTTGGGGAATTTTAAAGTGTAACTTTCTGCATGGAAAGACTGCATAAACTTTGATTTGGAAACGTTATGCCACGCATCCATCAGAAATTACTTACATATTTGTAGAAAAGGGACTGTAAGTGCACAAAGCAAAATGAATAAGAGCAAAGCAAAAGCATAAAGATTAACACAGGCACAGCGCAGGTCTGTTACCTACTCTTCAAACACAAATATCTCCTCCATTTCATGGCGTTTACTCCCCACATGAAGCCACCCACACGTTTGGACGAATAAAACTACATTCTTCTATCTTTAACCAAAGCCCCAAAAGGCACAAAAGCTCGACGGAGGGCACAGAATAAAACCAAACCAGCTCTTACAGGTTGAAGACAGCCATGCATCTCTTTGCACGATTCCCATCTGGTTAGGAGACCCATTTGCCTGGTTTCAGTCTGGTGAGATTGGAAACGGCCACACTATGTCTCCTATGCTGGAAGTGAGAGAAACGCTGCACAGGAGCAGGCACTGCAACCTTCTGCATAGCAAAAAACTTGTTCTGAATGAAGCTGCAGTACCTGTTGCACAGATGCTGATATCTACTGCTCCAAGAACTCTTCTTGCAAAGCAGTGAATTCAAAAAGCCTCTGAATCTCAGCTCTCTGGGACTTGAAAATGTCTTTTCTGGAGATACTGCCAACAGAGCATCTGATACTATTAAAAATATTATAATGTTCTATAACTTAAACCAGAAAAACTGATTTGCACGACTTCTTTTTTTTATTATTATTATTTGTTTAAAAATATACATCTGGGCTGGCAGTTTATACAGCAGGTTGCAGCTTGAAGCTATTTAAAACAGCTGAGTTATAAACTCTGAAAACTGGGGTTTGGAGTAGAAATGCTGACAGCCCCTGAACTACTGCTGTGCTACTGGGAGAGGTCTCACACCTCACGGCTGCTCTTCTGCCTTCCTTCTGCCCACTGCAGTGCTCTGCTTTTAACAGCGTCATCCGGAACCACAGCCAGCAGCCAGCCCAACACCCAGCAGGGCACTGCATCCTTACAGCCAGCCC